GGGGAAGAAAATATCAAAAAGTTAAAAATCCAGAAATAGTCCTAATTTTATGATGGTTCCTTAATATATTTTAACTACATTGCATTTGAGTATGGAGAGGCAACTATCTGGAAGTATTTTACATACAAAATTTACCAAGTATTGCCCGGTTTGTACTTGCAGTTAAAGAAAACACATGAAAGGCACGATTTTTTGTTTATCAGTGAGCTCACCCCCTCATCTACCTTCCCCTAAAGTTTGGCATGTTACTTCTGGGACACCCTGTATATACAAATAGAAATGCTCAAAGTACAAGCTCAAAGACAGTAATTGATGCGGTGTTTTCAAGATATTTCAACGCTCTTGATTCACAAGTATATACAAGTATCATATTTTATCAATCATACCGATATTTTCATGTATTAAAATAATTAAAAATGAAAATGAATAAAAAAATTAAATCAGCAAGATGAATAAAATTATGTGTATGCATGTAACTAATTCGGTAGGTTTACATATAAAAATATTATCCTCATTTTCGAGCTTAACTCCGTAATCTGTAATTAGAACAAGGGATTAGCCATATAAAATTATAATTATAAAAGAATCTCAGATTAAACCGATACCTTTTTGGTGTCCAACCCAGTTTTATCGATTATACTTGCGAAGAAGAGGAGGAATATCAAATGTAAAAGTTGCAATGCTATCAGTTTTTGTGGTTTATCAAAAACGCAACCGCTCGCTTGTACGCACAAAATCGAATGAATCTCTTTATTCTTTTTAAGATGGCGCTTCACTTGTACCAACGGTTAACATAACAACGAGTAATAATAAAACTAGTGTACAAACAAACGAATAATGAGTCTTAAGGTCTAGTTACAGCATCAACTTAAAAACTAATTCTTAAGTTCTAGTTACAGTGTGTAAGTACAAGCACATGCCTACTCTACTACTATTTCCTATAGCTCGGCCGTCCTGACTTATAGAAGCTCCTGATTCTACGACGTTTTGTAAAGGCAAAGCTTTGGTTATGCAAAGAAAAATTTTTGTTTCAGCTAGGGGTTTTAGTATTTTTATCGCCTGGATTTTTTCTAAAATTGCACCAAGGTTTTAAATTTGTTATCGACCAGGTGCCTTTATATGGAATCTGTGTCTGCTGAAAACCTTCTACATCTTCGACTACGTAGCGATAATTTTCTAGAACTTTAGTTATTTTGTACGGTCCCTTGAACTTAGGTATCAACTTGCTAGACGTACCTACTTGCGAACTAACATTGGAGACTACAACGTAGTCTCCTACGTTAAATTTTCGTGGTTCTCGCCGTTTTTTATCTGAGTATACCTTGTTGTAACTTTGTGCTTTACATTGCTTTATTTCTGCCTGTTCTCTAACGTTTTTTACTATTGACGGACTAAACTTTTGTACTGGTTCTATTACATTTTCTCTGACACTATCTACGATCTTTCCTTTTTGCATAACTCCGAACAAAAGTACACTGGGTTGTTCCCTGGTCGCTTTATGTACTGTATTGTTCATGGCATGCTCTGCCGATTCTAACCTTTTTTCCCAGCTTATCTCTTTCTCAGAATCTACCATTTTTGCTAACATAGGCCCTAAGCTTTTGTTCACAATTTCAACCTGCCCATTTGCCTGGGGAGAGCTTGTCGCGACTTTTATGTGTTCTACACTACTTTCTTCTAAAAATTCCTCAAACTCTTTTGACGTGAAGCAGGTTCCTCGGTCTGACACTATAAACTTTGGCCTGCTATATGCCCGGAAATAATCTCGTAAGGCTATTTTCGCGGGGTAGAGACGAATAAATTTTCTATCACCACTAAGATGTGTTTGTACTTTGTACATTTGCTATGAATTGGTCCGTAATGGTCAATGTGTACCATTTCGAACGGCACGTTTCCTTTCGGGATCATGTGTAACAGCCCTTCCTTTTTACCGCTCTTACACGAAAATGCTACGCACTTCAAACAATTTTCTATGTGTACGGACGCCTTTTTCCTAACGTTTGGAAACCAGTAACTTTTCCCTATTGTCTCTACCACTTTGTGTACACCTAGATGCCCCATTTCGTCATGGTATTTATACAAAACATGTTCTTACATAGGTTCGGGTACGTAGAAAAGTAAGTCTTTGTCCTTCTTTTTATAAATTACTCCGTTTCTCATCTCATAATGACTGTTTTCCGTAATTTCTAGCTCCATTTTTATCTTTCCTATCCGTTCGTCTCGACTTTGACATATAATTAAGTTTTCTTCGAATGTATTGGCGTGAATCACTAGCACGTTGGTTACCCTACTTAGCGCGTCTACGTGTTTCATTCTTTTTCCCGACCTATGCTCAACCTCGTAATCATAATTTTGCAACTCTAACGCCCACCTCGCGATTCTTGGGTTCATATCTTTTTTATTCAATCTCAATGTCAAGGAGTTGTAGTCAGTTACTATCTTAAATGTAATACCTGGAAGATATACCCTGAATCTTTTCAACGCATACACTATCGCTAGTGTTTCTAATTCAAAACTGTGGTATTTGGATTCTGCATCCGTCGTTCGTTTGGAGAAGTAAAACACTGGGTGTAATTTCCCATCTCTATTTTTTTGTAACAATAGTGCTCCAAATCCTAGAGCGCTTGCATCGCAGTGTAATTCTGTAGGGTCGTTCGGGTCGTGGATTGCTAATAGCGGGGATGCAATGAGTTTTTCCTATTATTCTATTTCTTCTTTCTCGAACTGGAACTTTTTATCTTTTTTCGTAAGATCATGAAGAGGTTTGGCTATAGTTGCAAAATCTTTTATAAACCTTCGGAAGTAAGAGCACAAACCTAAAAAACTTTGAACTTCCTGGACTTTTGTTGGAACCGAAAAATTTTCTATTGCCTTTAAACCTTTTTCATCGGCTTGAATACCTTTGTCGCTAATGATATATCCTAAGTACGAGATCTTTGACTGTAAAAACTCGCACCTGTCTAGTCGTAGCTCTAAATTATTCTGAACAATCCTCAACATAACTTTTTGTAATATTTCTAGATGCTGTTGTATGCTTTGCGTTGCTATCATAAGGTCGTCTAGATAAACTATTACTTCTAAATTTTATTAATGAACTTCTGAAATGTTGCGGGTGCATTTTTTCAGTCCGAATGGCATCTTTAAAAATTCGAACTGTCCCAAGGGGGTGGTGAAAGAGGTGTACTTAACTGAGTCTTCGTTTACAAAAACGTGAAAAAATCCGTTTTTTTAAATCTAGCTTAGTGAATACCTTTTTGTTCGCCAATCTGCCCAGTAAATCATCTATAAGTGGCATGGGATAACTGTCTTTGATCGTAACCTTGTTTAGTTTCCTATAGTCAACGCATAGTCGAAGTTCACCTGTTTTCTTTTTAACCAATACTATTGGCGACACAAACTCTGATTCGCTTGGCCGTATGTACCCCTTTGCCAAATATTCGTCTATTATTTTTTGAAGCTTTTCGTTCTCACTATAAGATAGTCTCCTCGGAGGGCACGCAAATGGCTTATCGTTTTCTAGCGTTAGTCGCATTTCCTTCCTTACAAGGGGTTCACTTAGCTTTTTTGAGTTAACATAAATTTTCCTAAACATCTCCACGAAACTTTCTTTTTCTCTAGAACTTAGCTGTTCACCTACTTTGAGATCTACGCCAGTTTCTTCGCAAGCATCTATTGCCATAATTTCATTTAACACTTCGCTAATATTATCTTCGTTCGCACCCCTTGTGCTTTCCACTTTTTCGCACTTGCCCTTGTTTGCCCCGACTAAGTTTCTCATTTTCCCAACATTGTGCTTTTCCTCAACTTTGTTTTTGTTCTCTACTTTATTCACAACATTTCCTACTTGCACTTTATTCACAACATTTTCTACTTCCACTTGTGCTACTCTATTCATAAACTCGACATTTCCTATCTTCAACTTTGCGTCACTAGTTTCAATAAAATCCCTGCCTAGCAAGACTGAATAACCCATACATTCGTGTGGAACCGCTAAGAGTTCAACTAAAACATATTTATTCAACACTTCTATGTAACATTTAATTTTTCCGTATACTTTCAAAGGGGACTTATTCAACCCGTAATATATTTCTTTGACATCTTCTAACTTTACTCCTGCTGGCACTATTACTTGCTTGATCAGGCTAACGGGGCTTCCTGAGTCGACTAAACATCCTATGAACATATCACTATTAACATGTGCTGATACATATAATTTAAAATAACTTACGAAAGTGTTCTTGCTTTTCTTATACTGCTTGCACTCCGCTGCTTGGTGGCCCTGCCGCAAGCGAAACAGGAACCTGCTTCTCTTTTCGGCTTTCTGCAGTCCTTTGCGTAATGACCAGAGCAGTTGCAATTGTAGCAACGCATCCTGTTGTCTGGTCGAGGCTTTTGCGCCGGACGCTCTGGGAGGTTAATACAGCGGAACGCCCTCACTACGTCGTTCGCGGAAGCAAAATTTTGTAATCTAGCCTGATTACGCAGTTGCCTATCGGGTATGCCTTCTATGAGGTAGTCCGCGAGTTCCTCGTCGCTCAGGTTGAGTCCACCGCCTAGCAGACATTTTTCATTGAAATAGTTGGCGAAACTCTCCTCGGGTGTCCACGTCCGCTTTTCAAACTTTCGGCGGCAATCAAGTTTGCTTTCACCTGATGCAAACACGGTTTTCATTTCGCGTAATAGCTCGTCGATATCTTTGGGAAACACCGGCTTTGCACTATACCACGCCAAAGCTGCACCTCTTAGTTTGATGTGGATTGCGACACCCAACATCGCGTCGTTCACTTGTAGTACTTCGCGGTAATGTAGCAACTGGTTGTGCCAAGCGTTGAAACCGGCGCCGCCGTCATATGTCGGTATAATGTCCTTCAACGTTTCGAACGGAACACCCTCATTTATTCCTCTGCATACGTTGGTGTTCACCGCCATTTCGTTTTCTTTTTCTAGCAGAGTCTTTCGCAGATTTAGCAGCTCAATTTCTTTTTGTAGCAATTGAATTTTCAGGTTACTTGTTCAACGCTATCGGGTATGGGCTGTGCTGTCTCACCGTTGTTGCTTGCTCTGCCGTCACTCGAACTGTACTCCGATAAGCGGTGCCCAAATGTACCGCTATGTGTACATGACAATACGTTCCGCACGTACACCGCGCCATCATCGTCGTCTGTACCATAGCTATTCTCGATGTTTTCCTCGCCGTTGTGTTGACCGTTACTCGGACCATTGTCTTGATTGTTACTCGGACCATTGTTCTGACCGTTGTTCGGACCGTCGTTTTCCACGTTGTTCACACCGTTGTTCCCACCGTTGTTTTCCTCATTGTTCTCACCGTTGTTCTCCACGTTGTGCTCATCGTTGTTTCTGGACACACTTTTCCCGCGCTGTTGCTGAGCTGCGTTTCCCGTATTTTCGTCGTCGCCACCGTCTAAAACACTTTTTTCGCCTGCCTTGTCTACTGGACATGATCCTCGCGCCTCCACAGAAAGCTCGCTCAACCTGGCGGCGGATGACGCTTTTGCACCGCTGGCATTGACGGCTACCGCAGCGCACCAGGCCTTCAGCTGCAATAGCGAGTACTTCTCCGCATTTACCGTTTCGCGATTCATTATAAACTTGACTTTTACTCAAAATTTACTTGGGAAATTTAAAACTTTTTACTCTAAATGGGTTCAAAGACCACTTCTGATGCAATGCTATCAGTTTTTGTGGTTTATCAAAAACGCAACCGCTCGCTTGTACGCACAAAATCGAACGAATCTCTTTATTCTTCTTAAGATGGCGCTTCACTTGTACCAACGGTTAACATAACAACGAGTAATAATAAAACTAGTGTACAAACAAACGAGTAATGAGTCTTGATGTCTAGTTACAGCATCAACTTAACAACTAATTCTTAAGGTCTAGTTACAGTGTGTAAGTATAAGCACATGCCTACTCTACTACTATTTCCTACAAAGTAAATATCATAATATGTGTAGGAGAAAAAAGTGGCCACGGTGGCACAGAGAAGAAGCTTAACTTTTCCTCGAGTAGCAAGAATCAAATAAAAGACCTCTTTGATATCAATTTCGTTACGAAAATTATACGCATTTTTTAACTGCCTTGGAAACGTAGGCAAAATTTTTTTTATTCATACGAATCGTTGCAAAAGTTCTGTTTTTTGTTTTGTGTTTCTAGCAGTAGACGGATTTTCACAACGTTCCGAATAAATAAAAAAAGATTTTGCGTACGTTTCAAAGGCAGTTAAAAAATGCGTATAATTTTCGTCACGAAATTGATATCATAAATTTTGTGTTTCTAGTTCAGCTTTCGTCACTCGAAAATTTTACCTCAAAGAGGTGTTATATTTGATATCAATTATTTTGGGGTAGCAAATTTAAAATCCTACGAAAATACAAACAATAATCTAAATGTTTTGATCTAACGATGAGCTGTATGATCTTTACAACGACATGGACATAGTGCAGCGAATTAAAATACAGCGGCTCCGCTGGCTTGCCAATGTCGTTCGAATGGACACCGACGATCCAACCCTGAAAGTATTCAACTCGGAACCCGCTGGTGGTAGCAGAGGAAGAGGGAGGCCCCCACTGCGATGGAAAGATCAGGTGGAGAAGGACTTGGCTTCACTTGGCATTTCCAATTTGCTTTAGTTGGCACAGAGGAGAAACGACTGGCGTGCTTTGCTGAACTCGGCCAAAATCGCTTAGGCGGTTACAGCGCCAAAAAAGAAAAAGAAGAAGAATCTAAATGTTTTTTTTTTTCTTAAATAAATTGCTAAAAATATTATCTACATCTAAATTATGCATTCAAATCGATGTGTCCATTGAAACATATAATTTTTCGGATACGGAATACAGCGAAAAAGAATGATCATCCTTAGTATTCGAAAACNAGAAAGCTCGCTCAACCTGGCGGCGGATGACGCTTTTGCACCGCTGGCATTGACGGCTACCGCAGCGCACCAGGCCTTCAGCTGCAATAGCGAGTACTTCTCCGCATTTACCGTTTCGCGATTCATTATAAACTTGACTTTTACTCAAAATTTACTTGGGAAATTTAAAACTTTTTACTCTAAATGGGTTCAAAGACCACTTCTGATGCAATGCTATCAGTTTTTGTGGTTTATCAAAAACGCAACCGCTCGCTTGTACGCACAAAATCGAACGAATCTCTTTATTCTTCTTAAGATGGCGCTTCACTTGTACCAACGGTTAACATAACAACGAGTAATAATAAAACTAGTGTACAAACAAACGAGTAATGAGTCTTGATGTCTAGTTACAGCATCAACTTAACAACTAATTCTTAAGGTCTAGTTACAGTGTGTAAGTATAAGCACATGCCTACTCTACTACTATTTCCTACAAAGTAAATATCATAATATGTGTAGGAGAAAAAAGTGGCCACGGTGGCACAGAGAAGAAGCTTAACTTTTCCTCGAGTAGCAAGAATCAAATAAAAGACCTCTTTGATATCAATTTCGTTACGAAAATTATACGCATTTTTTAACTGCCTTGGAAACGTAGGCAAAATTTTTTTTATTCATACGAATCGTTGCAAAAGTTCTGTTTTTTGTTTTGTGTTTCTAGCAGTAGACGGATTTTCACAACGTTCCGAATAAATAAAAAAAGATTTTCCGTACGTTTCAAAGGCAGTTAAAAAATGCGTATAATTTTCGTCACGAAATTGATATCATAAATTTTGTGTTTCTAGTTCAGCTTTCGTCACTCGAAAATTTTACCTCAAAGAGGTGTTATATTTGATATCAATTATTTTGGGGTAGCAAATTTAAAATCCTACGAAAATACAAACAATAATCTAAATGTTTTGATCTAACGATGAGCTGTATGATCTTTACAACGACATGGACATAGTGCAGCGAATTAAAATACAGCGGCTCCGCTGGCTTGCCAATGTCGTTCGAATGGACACCGACGATCCAGCTCTGAAAGTATTCAACTCGGAACCCGCTGGTGGTAGCAGAGGAAGAGGGAGGCCCCCACTGCGATGGAAAGATCAGGTGGAGAAGGACTTGGCTTCACTTGGCATTTCCAATTTGCTTTAGTTGGCACAGAGGAGAAACGACTGGCGTGCTTTGCTGAACTCGGCCAAAATCGCTTAGGCGGTTACAGCGCCAAAAAAGAAAAAGAAGAAGAATCTAAATGTTTTTTTTTTCTTAAATAAATTGCTAAAAATATTATCTACATCTAAATTATGCATTCAAATCGATGTGTCCATTGAAACATATAATTTTTCGGATACGGAATACAGCGAAAAAGAATGATCATCCTTAGTATTCGAAAACAAAAAAAAATATGAGAAATGATAAAAACGTATCAACTTGGTACCAACTTTGGATACAATAAACCACTGTATTCGTCTGATTGTCTCGTAGTTTATTTTTGTTAAGATTTCTACTGGGTGAGGGGCGCACACATGTGCTTTTTTAAGAATTTTTACTTCTATCACGTGTACGGTGTGGCAATTTATACATTTTATGTAAGTAGAAGCGGCTGATTGGATGAAGTAAATGCATTCACACATACATATTTATGTACAACTGTAGGTAATATAGTACGCGTCTTCCCAGGTAGGTTAAATGCGGGTGGTAAACCCATGTAGCATAGTTAAATACTGTGTACATACATACAATTAAAATGGTGAAAAATATTACAATTTCGGAATGTGACTGGAAAAAAACTCTAAAATACACACACATTGTGGTTTCCAAGACATGTACGAATTGATTAGCACAGCTGCATCCTTCAACTTGTCAACTCGCGGGAAATCCCCCCGATTTGCAGGGAATTTCGGTTTAAGTGGCAATCGGGGAATGGGCAATCTTAAAGTAACCAAATTAGACGAATATGTTAATTTGAAACCATTGGTCGCTATTTGGGGCGACTTTTTTAAATTTGAATCGTTATATCTCCACAACAAGAATTTTTCCAGATACAAGCTATATACCAAATAAAAGCTAAGGTTTTGGCCTAGACTTGAGGAAACTTAGAATAAAATCGACTGACCAGTTTTTGAGAAAATGCCCGAAATCTATATTTTCAACAGCCCGATTTTTAGTTTTCAGGCGATAACGTTATGACATATTTATATCTCATAAACACAAAAGATAGCGATAGATAGCTTGTTTGAAGATCCTTCTACTCATGTCCGCACCAATGACATGGACTGCGGCCTCAGTGGTAGTTTGAAAAATTGCCTTTTTTTGAATTTCAGGCAGCAGCCACGCCCACAAATGCATACGAATCAAAACATCCTGGAACAAAACCTTCTTAGTTTTTTTTGTACTTTAATTCCTGAAAGTTTGGAAAAAAAATTAAATGAAGGTACGTACAGGCGCCACATACATACCAAAGCATCTCGTAGTGGAGACAGGAACCAAAACACATTTACCTCTATATCTTTCCAACTAGTAGCCGGAACTTAATATATAAGGTATCGTTTGAAAGGTATTGGCCTATAGAATAACACTAAATATGTTTTATTGTAGGGGGTATCCCTTAAACCGGCAAAAGCAAAAAAACGTTTTTTGTTTCGCAACACTTTACCCTATTTTTTAAGAATCCGGTTAATCGTTTATGAAGCTTGAATACATTTTCTGGACACAGACCTTTTCAACGATGTCTCAAACATGTCGAATGGACGTCTGGATAAAAACTTCCAAATCTCGTGTAGTCGCGAGTCATTTCAGCATGCTACTGTGGCAGCTTTCGTCACTCGCGCGCACTGCCGTGCGCTGTGATAACAAGCACAACTAATTTGGCAACTAACGAGCTTTGATTGAGATTATATTTATATGTAAACGTACTTATATGCTTTGCCGGTCGCATATGTTTACACATCAAATTTCATGAGTACCTAGTCCTCCTGCCATTAAAAAAAAACCGTATAAATCAAATTTTCAAACTTTGTGCAATATTTAAAAAATAAGTTTTCTTAAAAACGTAAAGCTTTTTGATTCGATTTCAATTTTAGTATAATAATGTGCAAGTTTGCAGTAGCTAGGATTTATAGTGGATTTTTGGCAAATTTTTGTTTGAGCTATTTCTCGTTTCCTCTATAGAAAAAAAACGTCGAACATACTTTGCATGGAAGAAAATGCTGAGAATTGTGTATTCGTGTTCACATTTGCATTCGTCTTCGTATCTGAGTATGTGTTCGCAACCTGCTTCTCTTTCTATTTTTTATTTTCTACGCAAAGAATAAATCTTAAAAAATATTTTTTTGTTATAAAAATAAAACTCAAAAAATATCGATCACTAGTGAACTCGCATGGCGTTAAAACACCGAAACTGGATTTAACTTTTTAAACAGGTGCCACTCTTCAAAAACCTAAAAAATATTCCAAATGTTAGTCAGAGTTGTAGCGATCCGTGTGCCAAATTTCATCTAAATCCGGCAACCGTTTCTGCGTGAAGAGAAATTTTGCATTGTGTCGATTTTTGATTTCAGCAAAATTTTAATCACCTTGTACCAGGGCTGGCACGCAACAAACTAATTTGGGCACGGTATTAATTGAAAACCGAATTCCTCAATTTCTACTAGTAGTAGTTACTAAATAATCGCAACAATTTTTCTTCCTTTTAAAATGGAGATCTAAGCGAGAGCTATTCACACCCAACAATTCAGCCAAGAAAAGCCAAAAATACAAACAGTAACCAACAACATCCACAATAGATATTTGATTCTTTAGTTCCATTGCATCATTCATCAAAAAGCTTTGAGTCATAAAAATAGTGATCCTCGAATCTTCGCAGGCATTAAATAAACTAAGGTTTGAGACTTACACGTGACTTGCAAAATTGATGGCGTTTACGGATATGTGCCAGCGTTTCAATAATTTCGCCCTTTTGAGGCTAAACTTCAATTTTTTTGGTAAAGATAATGGGCCTGATGCTTAAAAAGTGAGCTTAAGCTCCGAATCGATTTTCTGTACAAATTCTTGAGTTTGAGCATCACTGCATAAATAGAGTCTGAGCTTAAACTCGCTTTTTATGCATAAAGCATATTGTTTTCAAAAACTACAAATGTTTCTCAAACTTAGAAAATTCAAAATACGACTTGTATTTTCATGAAAATACGCGACGGATCAAGAGTCACTGTAGAGTTTCTTTGGTAATAAATTATGTCATGGAATAATTTTCATCGAGGTTTTCTGAATTCGAGGAGTTATCGGCAACACTCACATTTATTATGCATCCTGATCTGAGTTGTTGGTCGAATAAATTGTTATTTAGTTAATTATTCGAACAAAATTTGATCCGTAATAGAATTGGAAAATAATTCATTCACGAAGGAATTATTCATTCACGAATGAATTATTCGTGAATAAATTGCATATGAATAAATTATTCGTGATTTTATTCGTTATCTAAAATAATTTTTAAATGTGATTTATAACACACTGAGCAACGATTTACTTTTATTTCTATTGTCAAGGATTGTGAGTTAGTTGAATTCTGTTTACTACTTTATCAAGAAAACTATCCCATTCCCGCTTGCTTCGCGGCCCCTGATAAGATCTTTTGCGTTGGCCAATTCAAGAATAGCGTTGAAAAGCAAATATGGGTAAAGTAAAAATTCTTTATTTAGGTTGAAACAACTAAAGATCAGATACATACATATTTCTGCCAAAAATACTAGCGCCGTGGTGCTATATGCAAAAAAAATCCCTTTCGATGTCATGAGCTTTACTGATGATCTTATTTCCGCCTGTAAGATCTCTTCTAAGCGTGCGTAATCTTCTTCTATGATCTTGCAACTACAGCATTGGTCCGATGCGTCAACCTCTTGTCTTATGTCATGTAAGCCAACAAAAGTCCTTATAAGGAAGCTGAACAGCACAGAAGTGCATTTTCTATTATAGAAGAGCCAAAAATCCTCGATGTTTCTAAGGACGAAAAGTTTTCCCGCACGTTCAAATTTGGCCATTGATATACCACCCACGTGGTCTTTCTTGGAAGGATGTGGTCGAAACTTTCCTTGCTAATTCGCCACATTTAAAATATCCAAGAGCTGGTTTCCTTGAGTCTTACTGCTTCAGCAATTGCCGCCCGATCAATTTCATCAAGCGGAGGTAGATGCAAGGTCGCATTTAGGGTGTATGACGACGTGAGACATCGTAAATTGGTATAATATAAACATAGGAACAAAGTAGTGCAGACATATGGGGTTTCTAAATATTTCGACTGCAGCGCCATTATGAATTGCAACCTGATTGTAGTTACAATAAATAGGGATTTTCTAAATAACTAAACTGCATTTCCACCTAGCGGGTCCATTTTTCGCATAAGTATTTTTCATCATACAGGTAGAACACATTTTGAATTTGGACGAAATCTGTTCATAAATACGACTTTTATAAATAACTGGGCCCCATCNAGTTTTCCCGCACGTTCAAATTTGGCCATTGATATACCACCCACGTGGTCTTTCTTGGAAGGATGTGGTCGAAACTTTCCTTGCTAATTCGCCACATTTAAAATATCCAAGAGCTGGTTTCCTTGAGTCTTACTGCTTCAGCAATTGCCGCCCGATCAATTTCATCAAGCGGAGGTAGATGCAAGGTCGCATTTAGGGTGTATGACGACGTGAGACATCGTAAATTGGTATAATATAAACATAGGAACAAAGTAGTGCAGACATATGGGGTTTCTAAATATTTCGACTGCAGCGCCATTATGAATTGCAACCTGATTGTAGTTACAATAAATAGGGATTTTCTAAATAACTAAACTGCATTTCCACCTAGCGGGTCCATTTTTCGCATAAGTATTTTTCATCATACAGGTAGAACACATTTTGAATTTGGACGAAATCTGTTCATAAATACGACTTTTATAAATAACTGGGCCCCATCGCCACCAACTAGTTTTCTAGTAGCCTTTAATAGGACTTAATGCGCAGGGAATAACCTCCGAAAATTTTACCTAAATCTATCCAGGGAATTGAGTTAGTTCCGAACAACGAAAACAGCTATAATTTTATACATAAATATATGTACATATCTATATACATAGATCACTTGTTTTATCTTCATTAATTATTAGAATAACGAATAAAATAATTTATCCGTCATTGGAATAATTTTTCTTTGAATAAACAAAGTTATTTATTATTTACGAATAACGAGAAAAACAATTTATTCATTTGTTATTCGTCATTCGAATAAATTTTGTCCAACTCTGATCCTGATGTGGCTTCACTTGTCTATTAATGCCTTCAAAAACGGTAATAAGTCATGATTTCTTGTTGCTATATTGAATATATCACCCCTATTCTGCAACTCTTTCGTATTCGGATTTTGCTCCGAATCGTAGAAATAGTTTGCTGCAATCCGAATCGTATTTTTGAACTTTCGAAATTCGTAACAATGGCATGCCTAAAAACGAACGAGTACTCTTTTGTGCGTAATTTTGTACGAAAACAATTCTGTGTCGGAGGCGAGATAAAAAACGTAATTCGATGTGTGTTTTCAGGAAATATTAGTGGTGTCCATTTAAACAAATAAATTTTCCCTTCGCATATAAGTATATTTTTATCCACTGCTTTATATAAACTAGTAAAACAGAATCTTTGTTGCCCCTTATCGAGAAACTTGGGTCCGGTTTAGTTATTTGTACAATGATTTTCGGTTGTTGTGTCCAAACGCATAATCCGAATCCAAAAACTTTAACATCACGTGTAACCAAAGGATTAAAATTTTATTTAAAATAAATGTTTCAAATTTCCGAGCACTATCATATTAATAAATTCGGTTTGCACTATGCACTTTTTTGCGAATTTCGACGTGGGTTCTGCGCAAAAATACTGTGGATGGCGTAGCCGGAGTGATGTGCACAATAAGTGTTGTATACCTTTGACATGCGGAAGCCCTTCTTCTCCGGCAACACAGAAAGGAGAATTATACTTAGTAAGGTATATCATCCCTAAGCGCAAACCTAGACAGAAGCAAGTGCAACAGGTGCTGGACCTAACAAAGTGCATGTCTTCAATAGATTGGAAGAAGCTGTTATTGCATTAACCGGATTGAGTACCAGTTCTTCAAGCATAGGATTAGTTCTGGCTTGTGGTTCAACAATTCAACTAGAAGCTGACATAGGCGCGCGCCCATGGTTGCTATGCCCGACAGCTCCGCGTATCTTTGTGAAATCATTCCGCTGCTATAATTGCAAATGCAATAGAATCCACCATTTCCTTCAAAATATGTAAAATCAAACAATTTTACTATAAATAAGCACTTTATGAGTGTTTTTTTAATTCCTTTCCACTTTGTTTTCCTTCATTCAGCTATCTTCGAAAAACAACTGATAGCTGGCAATGCTGCACATGTTTCCGCAAGGGTTGCAGCATGTGGATTTTTCGTTTTTCGTAGCGTAGCTACGAATTACGAATTACGAAAATTCGGGTTCCAGAATAAGGTGGTATCTTTGGAAATAATGGCACGTATATGTATAAAGTTTCGCCGGTCCTGCCCTGTACCGCTAAAAAGCATTTTCAAAACCCGTTCGATTAATACTCATATTTTCATTATTCAATTAACCTATTAAGCAAGTTGAATTAAACCAGCGGCAACCTTTTTCAAACACTTCTAAAGTATTCTAAGTGTTCAAACTAAAACCTTCTTAATCCTGTACTGTGACACATATTTCAGTTACCTAAGTGGCTTAATTCAAGTTGAATTTGATTTTTGGCACACGGATTGAGAACACCTGCATCAGCTGTACATTTATTTCTATTTAATCTTCCTAAAACTAATATTAAAAATGAGCACGCATAAGTCATGTATTGATGCTAAGTGCAAATAGCGTTACACTTGCACTAACTGAGATAAAATCTATGATTTACCAACCCATGTTTGTAAGTCTTACTTTTAAACTCTAAGATTTACCAATATACGGGCTTTTAAAATAACAGATGTAACGTGCCCGTGAACTTCGGTGTAGTAAAATTTAATGTGGCGTACTGGCCAACTAAACAGCTCTAGCTGAACAAACTTCAGTAAAAACACAACAAGCTGTCCAATTACTATGATGAAAATAAAATATATATGTGACCTGGTCTACGGAAAGGGGGCTTAGGTGTCAAAAAATCAATTTTCACTTTTTGGTTGATTCGGATGGAAGATGAGATGCTTTTTCACGTGGTGAAAAGCAGAAAATCCTAACTTGCTTAGAAGTGTACTAAAAATGTAGAGAAAGAAGAGTAAAAACGAGTAAACGAAACGAGTTGCTTACTTTTAACAGCTTTTTCACAGAAAACTAGTTTTCGCACGTAAGCTCCCTTTTCGTAGACCAGGTCACATATTAAGATGAGCAGACGCCAATTAGCAGTAGCAAAAACGTTCAGTTTTATTTGTTTTTTAAGGAAATATACTAAAGAGTTTAAAAAATTAATCAACAAAAGGGAGTTAACTACTAATTCAAAAAAATGTCAACAACCTTTGCCTTTGTGAAGAATTCATTCAGCTGAAGATGTCGCCCGCGGATATGAACTCATCAAAAGGACATTTTTATAGGGAATTCAATATTCCCGGTGTCATTGGGTGTGTGGATGGAACACACATAAAAGTGTCAAAACCAAGAGATGACGAGTCTCTGTTTTTTAATAGGAAGGGATATTTTAGCATAAATGCAATGGTGGTAAGCTGTTAAATAATAAACAATTTTCTTTGTAATAAAAACACGTACATATTTATAATATTAACAGATTTGTAATTACAATATGGAAATAATGGCAGTAGATGCGAGCCACCCGGGTTCATGTCATGATTCATTTATTTGGAATCAGAGTTATGCAAGGCAATTTTATAGCAACAATCGCGCTCAAAATACTTGGATTTTGGCAGATTCCGGCTATGCCTTGGAAACCTTCGTAATGACGTCATATAGGAACCCACAGCATGGATCGATAGAACATGCTTTTAACAAGAGNTGCGAGCCACCCGGGTTCATGTCATGATTCATTTATTTGGAATCAGAGTTATGCAAGGCAATTTTATAGCAACAATCGCGCTCAAAATACTTGGATTTTGGCAGATTCCGGCTATGCCTTGGAAACCTTCGTAATGACGTCATATAGGAACCCACAGCATGGATCAATAGAACATGCTTTTAACAAGAGAAAATTATAAAAAATCAAAGGTAATTTTTAGCTACTTGAAACTTGCACTTCGTTGCACTAAAATTGAATGAGCTACAAAGCTGCATATNTTTGATATTTTATTTAAAACATTGTTAGGTCTCTAACAAAAATCAGATTAATTCAAGTTTCAGTCTTTGGACAGAGTAAAAAAATAAAAAAATAAAATACACACAAATTTGGACGTTTTTGATAGAAATTTCTAGAAATACATACAGGTAGGTAGTAAAGAAAGTATTTTGATAAATTTTTTTTACCACATTGAAAATGTTTTCCTTGGAAAATTGTTTTGTTAATTCTCTTTTCAAAAAGTTTAATTTTAGTTCATAGTTTTGTTATCAAATTAACTATTTTTTATAAGATGTTTAAAAACAAAAATTTACCATGAAAAACATTTTCAATGTCGTGTAAAAATCAAATAAAAAATTTTTGAGTAACTGTATATGTGNCAGATTAATTCAAGTTTCAGTCTTTGGACAGAGTAAAAAAATAAAAAAATAAAATACACACAAATTTGGACGTTTTTGATAGAAATTTCTAGAAATACATACAGGTAGGTAGTAAAGAAAGTATTTTGATAAATTTTTTTTACCACATTGAAAATGTTTTCCTTGGAAAATTGTTTTGTTAATTCTCTTTTCAAAAAGTTTAATTTTAGTTCATAGTTTTGTTATCAAATTAACTATTTTTTATAAAATGTTTAAAAACAAAAATTTACCATGAAAAACATGTATATATGTATATGTGTATACATGTATATATGTATATGAAAACCTACATGTAGCAAAACTTCTCAGCGAAAATTCAAAATAATTCCTAGTGGTAACTAATTATTGAAGGAATTACGATTACTTTTAACTATGCATTTCTGGCAATGCAAAATGGTATGCACGGCATTAACACCTACATATGATAAGCTCATCAGCAATATTCGGCAATAACTTTAGTTTCAGAAATATATTACTTCAATATTATCTTATTATAGGTGGTAATGCCTTGTATACCATTTTGCGTTACCAGAAATGCATAGTTAAAAGTAATCGTAATTCCTTCAATAATTAGTTACCACTAGGAATTATTTTGAATTTTCGCTGGGAAATTTGCTACATCTACACACGTTTATACACATCACTTATATTTAATGAACACAGATTCACAGCAACATATGATATTTTTCACAACTTTAACTTTGCATTATAGAAACTTCTTTAGCGTTTCCAATTTCTCCTGCTCTATTTCTTCCATTCTTTGATAGTGTCTTTTCCTCTCCTGTTCTTTTTCCTCCATTACTTTGAACTCGTTTTTCTTCTGCACCAGCACTTCGTCCAATACTTTGGCAATACGGTTTAGTATACTGTTTTGCTCAATGCAAACCACTTCGAATGCGTCAGTTGAACGTCGACGCTGCCTTGATGTGCTTTGTGGCCCAGTGGCTTCGATTGTATCGTCAATCACTTCTATAAAGCTTGTGTTGCTTTCATCGCCAACATTTTCAGCAGCAAGGTCGGTGGCCTCCTCGCCGACAACTACGCTTTGGACTGAAGCGTGGCCAAAAGTATTTGCGCCCCTAATACCTTCTACAGCCCTGTAAAGGTTGCAAACCACCGCAACTGCTTCTTCAGTGGGGGAAATAACCTGCTGCGAATATGGGCCGCCACCAGTGGCCATGTTTTCTCGGCGGTTGCTTGCCAGCTTTTTCTTGATAGTGGCCTTCCAATCCACCCAAGACTGTAATTAAATCACTGTGAAACAAAGTACGAAAATGTATCTACGTAAGTAAGACATACCTTCTTCCACCCACCCAAATCCTTGCAGGGCGGACCGACAGCATTGAGGGAGCTGGTTAGTTCTGCCCATTTCGCTTCAATCTGAACCCTGTCGCCTTTCGAAAAACCTTTAGCAATTCCTTCATTTTGCTGCATAAAGGAGAGCATAATCTCTTCCTGCTTTGCGTTTCGTTTCTTTCCCCTAAAATATAAATACATAAATGATTAACAATAATAAAATGAATAACTTGCTTACTTACATTGCGCTCCTTCCTTTCTTATTGCTTCGAAATAAGTATTTAGTTTGTTTACAAATACAATCAGCTGATTACGATGATTCTATTGTTAGGGGTTACCACCATTCGCAGATTCTGTATAAAAACTGCATTGAAACAAACTATTTTTACAAAATGCATTAATTTAAAAGCACCAACGTATTTCTGAAATGTTTTCCAAATATTTGCTAACTCTCGAACGAATGTTAAAGCACGAATAAATGCCAAGAACATAAAAATGTATGTTCGAATATTATTTATGAAGCATGGCAATATGGAACTTTTCGAAGAATACTGCGCATGCGCTGGAGCGGAATCAAGAACAGGTCCGTTTCATTACGATCGATTTCGCTTTGTTTGGCTAAGTAATTTTTAAAGAGCAATTTTAAGATAGAGATTTATCAAAGTATTTGAATACATATTAAAGCAATAACGACTTATAAAATCTCTCAATATTATGAAAATTCAAAAGAAAATAATTGGCTGACAAACAGCATATATATTTGGGTTTAATTAGCCAATTACTTTTCATTCCGACTGGGCAAAGTGATAACTTTTCAAATCGAAAAAATTTTGTCGGAATCGAAATCAAGAACACCAATCCATTTCGATTCCGAAAAATTTGATCGGAATCGAAATGCAGAACAAGGCTGTATATTTATATGTAAACGTACTTTTATGCTTTGCCGTTCACATATGTTTACACATCGAATTTCATGAGTACCTAGTACTCACACCTTTTTTTTTGATAAATAAGACCGTAAACATTTCCTTACATCGTCAATTTCCATATTGTTTTTTTACTCTTTCGATTTCCGTGACCAGTGCCGCAAACGATATCAACTAGCAGGCTGACAACCAGAAATGAAATTAAATACGCAAGTACTTACAGTACTACAAGTACATATACAAGGTAGTGTTAGCCGTATATAAGTAAAAAATTACACTAACAAATTATACGCAGATATCCATTCTGTAATTGGTATGACTTACAACAAACACATCATTTTGACGTAATGTCCTCCACGGCGAAAAACTCAGATGTCGCCCCAACACCACCTTGTTAAATACTCCTTGGAGTAGCTTGGCTACTCCCTTTTGGCAGCAGCAAATATCTCGTGTACGCGATGGTGGAGTAATAGCAATTAGGTAAAGTCATATATGTAATACTCCTATATTGGCAGTAAGAGTTAGTACCGTCCGAAAACACTACAGTACAGATTATCAATAAACACGTACGAAAAAAAGGAACACATACGTTTATAAATAAACATGTACACAACACATACACAAAAACGGCACTCAAGTATACAACACATTCACAAAAACGGTACTAGACTGTCCCGCTTTGATTTCGGAATGCTTACACATTGAGAAGTTAGCTTACTGCCAATATAGAAGTATTACATATATGGGCAAATCTAAAAAATAGGTACGCTTTCAAAAAAAAATTTTTATTTTTAAATTTGTGAGCACACCTATGTTTTATATATCATTTTATTCGTAATCTCTCAATAAATCGATTAATATAAGTGTAATTCATTTTCATCAAGTGCTTCAAAAGTTAGACGAGGAATAAACATGAAATAGAAAACAAAAGAATCAGCTGGGTTCAAATTACGTTGTTCAAGTTGTAAATTTTGAGCAGAGATTTTGAAAGTTGAACCTTAATTATTGCTTAAACTTATCGAAATGGGTGCACTTTAACGTATAGCTCCAATACAACTGATTCCTCAGATATGTGTTTTTGCGCATAACTCTAACTTTATATCGGAATAATAAATTTATGCGTGCTATATGTTAAATTGAACCTATACTAAATTTTAACCTGTTTAATTGGAAGAGTTATATCGCAAAACAACGTCTCTGATCAATCAGTTGTATGGGAGCTAGATGTTTAAGTGAACCGATTTCGATGATTTTATGGAATAGTTAAGGTTATATTAAAAAACGGTTATGTGCAAAATTTTAGCAAAATATCTTCAAAACTCAGGGACTTTTTTATAAAACAGTTAAAATTTGAGCAAAGTTTCAAGCACCACTATCTCGAAAAGTGGAGCCAATAGGGTAAAACTGAGGGCGCCATTGAATTTAGAAGGCTCCAATTAAGTAAGGCCAACTATCAGAACATTTGTCGAAAAAAAGTTCCTTTGATTCCACTCTCGAAGTATTCTGACTAAAAGAAGGAGCATCATTAAAAGTAGTAAATCAGGGGTTTTACACACTTCTAGAGACAAATTTTTTGAAGCATTTTACAGGTATATGTAATTGTATAAGGACTAGCAGCTATAGAAAGATTTAGATTGTTTCGACGTATTTTCCAAATGTGCCTTCAATTAAGGTGTTTTTGGAATAAAAATTACGCTCAAGATCGCAGAATATTTTATCTTTAAAAGTTAGTTTATTGTGAAAGCACACCTCTTGCTAAGGTATCAAATTATACGTAATTGTTTGTAGAATACAATACATACTTAAAAAGTTCTTAAAATTAAATTCTTCAAAACCTATACGCGAAAAACCGAACATTTTGAGAATTGTGAAATGTGGAGTTACAGACTTTGAGTTACTTGCCATTTCGTTATTGTTTAATGCACACCTTTCTTACCTACTACATATGAAGTGTACGTATAAGTGCTAAATGCCCATTTAATTTCAAATCAGACTATGGTGTGCTTCAAAAGTTATGACATAATTAATTTTGCCCCTCTTCAAAATTACATAAGAAATTCACTTGTTTTCATTACTTTTTTTAATTTAAACACCTATAATTCAAAAGTTATGCAGTAAATTGATCCAAATTTTTTTTGAGGCTTCAAGTATACGTCAATGAATTATATCCAAGAGCAACCATCTTGATATAGTTTCCAACAGTGAAAATAAAGCTAAATAACACCAAGGTTACCTGTTTTTTAGATTTGCCCATATGGGTAAAGTATTTGCTCTCTCAACGCCAAGTAGTGTATTTATTCGGAAAAATAGTAACAAATGTGTTGTGAACGTAATGCGCAGGGATGCCAACTCATTTTATGTTTCTCCCCGTTGGTCACCGCGAGATTCACCGATTTTCGGTAAATTCCCCGCAGTGGCATAATTCCATTTAAAAAAAAAAAAACAATTTTTTTAATCCAAATATACATACAATATTTAAATGTTGAATTTTTTTCACTAGGTTAGGTTAGAGAGGCTGCCCCAGGTTGCCGTTTTGGTCCAAATAGACCAAATTTGGTCCGTTCCTTTTCGTTTGGTCCATTGGTCCAATTATTTTTAAAACGGTCCATTTCACAAGCCTTTGGTTAGGTTATTATCACCCTTTCACTTTATGCAATAGTTTCGCGTTTTCAATTTTTTCTATTTATTTGATTAATATTCCGCCCTATGTTGAATATCATCATCGTCAGAAAAAGTGACGATACGGCCATCATCAGCCATATTACTGATGCACTGACGATCGTCGACGATGACGATATTCAGTACAGGGCCGATTGGCAACACCTGCTAAAAGTGTGAACTCGCCTTGCCACTGATTTTCAAATATGGCGTGGCTAATCATCTGTCAAAGCACGCTTCAAAAAATATCGCGGTTTCTTGCTAATTTCAATTATGGAAAGGTAGCAAAACTTTAATCATAGCATTTAGAACATGAAAATAATATTCGATTTCAATCGAAAAGATATTAGACATCTGGAAATTATTATACCACATAAATTTTTTTCTGATACTGATGTACCAATTTTACCGCCACTCGACCAATTTTCTGCATTGGTAAATGATGCAGGCATAATTGAATTTCAATTTCGCAAATTGAAGCTGAGTGAAGGTAACTTAAAAAACTGTTCCAATATAGAACGTTTTTGGGATCAAGTAAGTTAGATTAAAAATGGATTGGGTGAAGCGGCCTTTGGAGAATTGTGTGATTTAATTCATGACATTTTTAGTCTGGTTCACAGTTCCGCAGCAGCCGTGCGCAAATTTTTTGATTTAGCATTAACAAAAACGAAATCGAGAAACAAATTATAATTTAAAACTTTAAATAATATTATAACATTAATAACATGTTATTAATATACAATTGTAATGCACTTTGGATGCAATATAAAAAAAAATCGATATAAAAACTGAATTGGCATATTTTCTTGATAAAGAGGAATAAACTCCACTCAATTTTCCGATGTAATAAAAATTGGTAAATTTTTACCATTTGGTCCATTTTTTGGTCCGAAAAATAAATTGGAAATGGCAACCGTGGCTGCCCCTCGCAGAGCGCGGAGCACATGTGGGCTGGAAAAGCCCGTTGTTATCCACTGGCCGAAGCCATTTGCTTCTTTCCCTCCCTTAGTAATTGAACCACCGAGTACGTTTTATATAGCATAAAATGTCGAGGACGTTCGGCGAGTTTAAAACTTCAAACCTTTTACTCGAAATTTTTAGAAGTCAATTTAATTTTTAACCGACTTCCAAAAAAGGAGGAGGTTATCAGTTCGTCGGAATATTTTTTTTTTTTTTTTTTTTTTTTTATGTATGTTACCGCATAACTTTGGACTACGTCAACCGATTTCGATTTTGCATCGGAAAGGTAGTGTGTCAGAGGTGGTCCCGTACTAATCTGGTTAAGATCCGATCAGCGGATCATGAGATATATATATATATTTTTTTTATATGAGAGTTGAAGTCGGTTTTTTTTTTGCTAAAAATTACTTGTAGTATAACAATTTGCACGTTTAAAATGGCTAAAAGCTACCGTTGATTTTTGATATTTTTTTTCGTTTAATTCAATTGCTTGAATTTATTAACGAATGTACATACAATGTTTAACTGTTAAATTTTTTCACTAATTTCTAATAAAAATATATCTTATTGATATATAACTGAATATAAGTAAAATTTAAAACGGCAGGCTGGAGCAAATAGCTCATTTAAAATTCCGAACTAGATCGTTCGATCAATTCAATGACCTAGTGTAGACTTTCCCAAAGTGGGTGCCGCGAGCGGATACCTGGGGTGCCGCTACCCTGCAGTAAAAAGCCAAACCAGTTAGAAAAAATACTAGTTCATTAACTAGTATGTGCCTACCAGTTCGACAATTTCGAAGAACTTAGGCGATCAGCGACATCTGCCTTTGAATTGCCAAAGCCAAAAATAAAACGCAATTAATTGCTTTTCTTACAAATGTCGGCTGTGGCGTCACGTGAAGACTACTGGTTCTGGTTCTGAAATCGCAGGTTCGAGGCCGCTTGGAGGTGGTTAAGATTTTTAAAGTTAAATAAATGTAAGTAAAAATAATTTATTCAATTTATAAAAAAATAACAAATTTGCAAATCTAGTTGCATTGCAAAAAAACATTTAGGAAGAAATGCTTGTGCTATAAAAACAAAGAAATTAAACAAAAATATTTTTTTATTAAATTTAAAAATTACAATAAACAGCCTAAACAAAAA